GCAGAGGACCCAGGTTCAGTTCTCAGCACATGGTGGTTAACAATTATAACTCCAGTTCCAGGGGATCTGATGCCCTCTTCTGACCTTCACAGACACTGCATGACATGCGTGCACTTACATACATGCAGGCAATAGACTCAGTGGTTAAGAGCACTGTCTGCTTTTGCAGAGGACCTGGGTTCAATTCCCAGCACCCACATGGCAGCTATGAACCATCCTTAACTCCAGTTCCAGGGGAATCCGAAGCCCTCTTCTGACCTCTGCAGCATTGCACAGCACGGATGCACTCACATACATGCAGGCAATACACTTATACATATAAAATAAAAATGATAAATAAAATTAAAAAATAAAAATAATAATAATTTTTGTCTTTTAAAAAAATATTTATTATTTTTATTTTATGTGCATGTGTGTAACTGCCTGGCAGGTAAGTGCACCTGTGCTGTGTAATGCCTGTGGAGGACAGAAGAGACTGTTGGATCCCCTGGAACTGGAGTTACTAACAGTTGTTAGCTGCTATGTGGGTACTGGGATTCGAACCCGGGTCTTCTGTAAGAACAGTGTTCTTATCCACTGAGCCATCTCTCTAGCCCCTGTTTTGTTTTGTCTTTTTTTTTTTTTTTTTTGAGACCTTGTCTCCCTGTGCCCCAGCTGGCCTGGAACTTACTATGTACACCAGACTGGCCTTGAACTCCCAGAGATCCACCTGCCTCTGCCTCCTGAGTGCTGGGATTAAAGGCATGGGCTTTGATACTAAATTAGCTGCTTTGTTGTTGTTTGGGGTGTTTTTGATATTGCTGTTTGTTTTGTAGATTCATTTTATTTTTTAAGATGATTCATTTGTATTTTTAATTGTGTGTGTGTGTGTGTGTGTGTGTGTGTGTGTGTGTAAGTATGTAAGTTCAGGTGCTCAGAGTCCAGAAGAGGGTGTCACATCCCCTGGCATTGGAGTTACAGATATTTGAGTCACTGGGTGTGGGTACTGGGAATAGAACTTGGGTCCTCTGCAGGAGTGTTTGAGCCAGGACTGGAGACATGGCTCAGTGATTAAGAGCACTGGCTGCTCTTGCAGAGGATCCAGGTTCAGTTCCCAGCACTCACATGGCAGCTAACAACCATCCATAACTCTAATACCAGGGGACTGAAACCCTCTTCTGGCCTTGTGGGCATTGTACACATGTGTCTACTTACATACATGCAAGCAAAGCATTCATACACATAAACATAATAAATAAAATAATTTTTTTGGTCTTTTTAAGACAGGGTCTCCCTGTAGCCTCAGCTGCCCTGGAACTCACTATGTAGACCAGGCTGGCCTTGAACTCACAGAGATCCACCTGCCTCTACCTCCCAAGTGCTGGGACTACAGGTGTGCACCATCACGCCCAGCTAAAATATTTTTTAAAAGAGCATCTGAGGAACTGGGCATAGTGGCGCACACCTTTAAGCCCAGCACTTGGGAGGCAGAGGCAGGTGGATCTCTGTGAGATTGAGGCCAGCCTGGACTATATATTGAGTTACAGGCAGCTGGAGCTACAGGGAGACCCTGTCTCAAAAAGGCCACCAGAAAAAGAAAGGAAGAAAGAAAGAAGGAAGGAAAGAAGGATAAGAAAACAAAACAAAAGAGCAGCTGAGTCATCTATCTAACCACATATATATATTATTTTTTGAGATAAGATCTCACTATATGTAGATCCAGAACTCACTATGTAGACCAGGCTAGCCTTGAACTCACAGAAATAGAAATCTGTCTGCCTCTGTCTCCCATTTTCTGGAATTAAAGGCATGTACCACCACACCCAGCTAAATTAGCTGGTTTTTAAAATTTATGATTTTTATTTTATTGTATGCATGAGTGTATTGCCTGCATGTGACCCATCATACAATGCCCAAGGAGGGCAGAAGAGGGCGCTGCATCACCTGGAACTGGAGTTACAGCAGTTGTTACCGCCATGTGGGTGCTTCAAAATCGAACGGGGGTCCTCTCAAGAGCACCCAGGGCTCTAAATTGCTGAGCCATCTCTCCAGCCCTAAATTAATTGCTGTGAAGTGTGCAAATCAGTGCAATGTTCCATGGTAAGAGTTGCACAACTGTCACCTTTATCTAGTTCCAAAATATTTCCATGGCCTCAAAGGAGTCTCCAAAGCCAGGAGGCAGTGACCTCCCAACACTGACAGCTGCCTACCTGCTTTCTGTCTCTGTAGAATTGCTGATTCTGGGCATTTCATAGAAGTGGGATCAGACACTCTGTGGCCTTTGTGTCTGTCTGCCTTCACTCACTGAGCGTCACATTTTGGGTTTCCTATGTTACATCCTATGCCAACGCTTCCTTCCTCTTTATGAGTGGATAATATTCCATTGAATGGATGTGCCACATTTTGTTTATCCATTCTTCAGTAGATGGACATCTGGCTGTGTGAGTAATGATGCTCTGTCCACATGCGTACATACACTCCCCACAGTACCTGTCCAGTGCATACATGCGCTCTTCACGGTGCTTACTTTCTTCATTTGACCAGGCTGACCTGGAACTGACAGAGAGAGGTCTGCTGACCTCTGCCTCTGAAGCACTGGGATTAAATGTTTGCATTTTCACTTTCCTAATGACTAAGGATATTGAAGGTCTTTCTATGTGCTGATTGTCACTTGTATGTCTTTGGACAAAAGTCAGTTCAAGTCCTCTACACATTTAAGAGTTTTTACATTTCATTTATTTATTTAAATTTTATGTATATGGACATTTTGCCTGCTTGTATAAGTACACCCATGTATGAAATGCCCAAAGAGGCCAGAAGCGGGTGTCACATTCCTTGGAACTAGAGTTATAGATGGTTGTGAGCTTCCATGTGGGTGCTGGGAATTGAACTCAGGTCCTCTGAAAGAGCAGCCAGTGCTCTTAACTACTGAACCATCTCTCCAGCCCCCTCTAATTAAGGCACATCTAATAAATAAGGCACATTTCTAATCAAAAAATACTTTACTATTTTTATTTTATGTGTATGTAAGTGCACCATGTCATGCAATGCCTGCAGAGTTCAGAAAAGGACATCAGATCCTCTGGAACTGGAATTACACATGGTTGTTAGCCTCCATGTGAGTGCTAAATATCAAACCTGTATGTGGGTCCTCTGCAAGAGCAGCCAGTACTCTTAAACACTGAGCCCTCTCTCCAGTCCTACATTTTTATTTTTTAAAGATTTATTTGTTTTGCCAGGTATGATGGCCCACACACACCTCTAATCCCAGTGCTTAGGAGGCAGAGGCAGGTGGATCTTTGTGAGTTTGAAGCTAACTTACAGAGCAAGTTTCAGACCATCCAGGGCTACACAGTGAGGCCCTGTCTTTTAGTCTTTTTTTTTTTAATGTGTATGCGTGTATTGCCTGCATGTAGGTAAGTGCACCCATGTTGTGCAATGCCCATGGAGGACAAAAGAGGCTGCCAGATCTGCTGGAACTGGAGTTACTGACAGTTGTTAGCTGCCATGTGGGTGCTGGGATTCGAACCTGGGTCTTCTGCAAGAACGGTCAGTGTTCTTAACCACTGAGCCACCTCTCCAGTCCCTGAGGCCCTGTCTTTTAAAAAATTGATTTATAGGGCTGGAGAGATGGCTCAGTGGTTAAGAACACTGACCATTCTTGCAGAAGACCCAGGTTCGAATCCCAGCAGCCACATGGCAGCTAATGACTGTCGGTGACTCTAGTTCCAGGGGATCTAACACCCTCTCCTGTCCTCCTCGGGCATTTGCACAACACAGATGCACTTACATACAGGCAATAAACTCATACACATAAAATTTAAATAATAAATACCTTTTTAAATTGATCTTTATGTGTATGAGTGTTTTACCTACATGTATGTAAATGTATTCACATGCATTGAATGCCTGATGGAGAGGAGAGCATCAGATCCCCTGGAACTGAAGTTGCTGGTGGTTGTGAGCCATCATGTGTGTGCCGGGAACCAAATCCGGGTCCTCTGCAAGAACAGCTAGTGCTCCTACCCACCAAGCCATCTCTCCATCCCCTCTGCACATTTCTGAATGAGATCATGTTTTTGTCCTTGAGCTGTAATGACCCTTTTTATTCCTTTCCGTCTCTCTCAGTTGTTTCCCACAGGCTACCCATGACTCATCCTTCTGTCATGGCCTCAAATGCCCCAAATGTTTAGCATAGAATGCTAAGGCAAGGCCTCTACCACTGGGCCACACCCCCAGCCTCTCACTGGGGGATTCTAGGCAGGTGCTCTACCACTGGGCCACACTGCCAGGCCTTCACATGTGAATTCTAAAATCTCACTCTGTCACTGAGCTGCCTTTCCATCCCTCAATTTACTTTTCAAGACAGGTTCTCATGTGTAGACCAGGCAGGCCTTTAGCCTCAACCTAGCAAGTACTGGGATTACAGACCTGTGCTACCAGACACTCCTAGGCCTCAGCTTGTTAGTCTCCTGCTTGTTGTTCATCCTCCTTGGCTTCTGGCCACTGAGGACATGTGGGGTGTCCTAGCCAGCTCTATGTCCCCAGCACTGCATGAATAGTACAGGACTTGGGAGCAGCAGTATCCAGGGACATTCTTTTTTGTTTTATTTTATTGTTTTATGTGTATGAGTATATCGCCTGCATGGATGTAAGTGCACCTGTGTCGTGTAATGCTCGCGGAGGTCAGAAAAGGGCGACGAATCCCCTGGAACTAGTGTTATGGACAAGTTGTTAGGTCCCAAACCCCGGTCTTCTGAAAGAGCAGCCAATGCTTTTAACAGCTTACCCATCTCCCCAGCAACCCCAGGGACATTCTTGAGGTATGAATGAATGAAGGCATGAACATATCCTTCTGTATCCCCGTCTGTCATTCAGTTTTGGTCTCCCTGTCCCACCTGCCTCTGCCCCACGGAGCCCAGCGATCCTGGACACCGGGGCTCACCATGGTGGCTGGGGGTGGGTTATAGACAGTCAGTCAGATCAATAGGTCCCGACCTCACTCTTCCCTCTGTCCCCAGCCCCAAGCCGCCGGGGCGCGGTGGCGCTGGTCTCTGAAGTCTTTGAGCAACACCTGGGCGGACACATCCTGCAGGTGAGGCGGGGTTCCCCTCCTGTTGCTCCTTGCTGCCACCTAGTGGTAGTATCCAGGAGCAGCATCCTCTCGACCCTCGTCCAAGCCCTTGGGAGCCCAGGGGACAGAGGCTGCAAGCCAGGGCTTCCTTGGGCCTGTCCCTTCCCGAGATCACAGAAGTCCCCCAGCCTCAGGCAGATATACAGCCTCAGGCGGATATACAGACCCTCTCTTCCTCCCTGTCTGCTGGTGTGCCCTTCCTATATCCACTCATGTCTCTCAATTCCAGTCCCTGGATGGTTTTGTGTTCGCCTTGAACCAGGAAGGAAAATTCCTCTACATTTCTGAGACAGTCTCCATCTACCTGGGTCTCTCACAGGTAAGGATCCCAGCCCTACCCCGATGGTGAACTGCCATCTCTTGGCCCATGTTTGCCCTTGTCCTCTGCTGGCATAACTAACCCCAACATGGGGAAAAAGGGGGACAGTGTATGGTCCTTAAAGTGTTCCTTGGAACCCTACATGGCACAGCCACACACACCCCAGTGGTCTTCCTGGTGGAGGAAGGTTATTAAGGTAACAAGTCAACAGCTGCACCTAATAGTATATGCCTGTAATTAAGGGTACTGGAGAGGCTAAAGCAGAAGGATCACAAGTTCAAAGCCAGCCAGAGCAACTTAGTGAGACTTTGTCTCAAAATTTAAAAGTAAAAAGAGGTCTGGGGTAGTTCAGTGGTAGAGGCCCAGCCTAAAATCCTCCAGTGAGGGGTTGGGGGCTTGACTCAGTAGTAGAGCACCTGCCTAGAACCCCCCAGTGAGGTGCTGGGGTGTGGCCCAGTAGTAGAGCACCTGCCTAGAGCCCCCAGTGAGGGGCTGGGGGCTTGGCTCAGTGGTAGAGGGCTTGGGTAGCATTATAGAGGTCCTGGATTCAATTCTCAGTACCTGTGATGGGGTTGTAGCTCAGCTGATAAGAGTATATGCCTAGCATGCACAAAGCCCTGGGTTTGATCCCCTGCATGGCACAAACTGGGCATGATGGTAAGGCATAAATCTACCCAGGAAATCCCAGCACTCAGTAGGTAGAGGTAGGAGGATGAGAAGTTCCAGGCCAGTCTGAGCTACATGAGATTTTGTCCTTTCACGGCATGGTGGCTCTTTAATCACAGCACTCAGGAGGTAGAGGCAGGAGGATCTGTGGGATCAAGGCCAGCCTGGTAAACACAGCAAGTTCCAGGCTAGCTGAGGCTACAGAGAGACGCTGCCTCAAAAAACCAAGAAAAAAAAGAAAAACAAGAACAACAAAAATAACATCCCTCCCAAAAAACAATGCCCCTCCCAAAGGGGACTTTGGACAGGAAGGGGTGATTAAAAGAGTGGAAGAGGGGATAAAGGTGGGGTTGGGGGAATAGTCCAGAGGGATGAGGGCTGCTGGGAGGCAGGTCACCCCAAGCAAAGGGACAGTGGGAGTAGCGGACTAACTTTGCAAAGAGTCTTGAGTGGGGCTTGGAGGTCAGAAGATTACAGTGGAAGGTGAGCAGGATCAGTGTGGGGACACAGTAGAAGGAGAATGGGACCCCTGTGAGTTTGGAGAGGTACATCTGGCTTAAATGTTCTAATCCATCAAAGAATTGGGAAACAAGACCAGGTGTGTTGGCAAATGCCTTTAGTCCCAGCACTCGGGAGGCAGAGGCAGGCGGATCTCTGTGAGTTCGAGGCCAGCCTGGTCTACATATCGAGTTCCAGGTCAGTTGGGGCTACAGGGAGACCCTGTCTCAAAAAGATTTAAAAAAAAAAAAAAAAAGAATTGGGAAACAGACTTGATGGTGTGTGCAGGTAATCCCAGTAATCCGGAGGCCTGAGGCAGGAGAATTGACAGAAGTTTTAGGACAGACTGGGCTACATAGTAAGTGCCTGTCTAAAATCAAAGAGGTGGGGAAAATCTACTAAAGAAAAATGCAGGGCAAGTGTGAAGCACACCCCTTAGCAGGCTGAACCCAGCAGGTTAAGTGATTGCACGCGCACTTCACCGCCCCCTGCATTCCCCTCCGTCACCGGCAGGTGGAGCTGACGGGCAGCAGCATCTTCGACTACATCCACCCTGGGGACCACTCAGAGGTACTGGAGCAACTGGGGCTGCGGGCCCCGACCCCTGGACCTCCCACTCCACCCTCCGTCTCTTCCTCTTCCTCCTCCTCGTCTTCCTCCTCGCTGGTGGACACTCCTGAGATTGGTAATTTCCAGGAATCCACTCCTTGGCAATGAATGAAACCTGAGGGTAGATCTGGGTGTTTCTCCTTAAAGTACTGCAAAGCAAGATTTTATAAAACGAATTCGAGTCCAAATTGAGGGGATGATACTTGACTCTCTAAACTTTCTAAGTGTCCAGAATGGTTACAATACCTCCAAGATTTGAGCTACTGAGTGGAGATGAAAAATAAGGCCATCAGATTTACAAGAGATTTACATTTTACTGTATCCTTAATTACTGCGTTGGATCCTCACACCAACCCCACAAGACAGGAACGATCTGCAAAGTCCAGACACAGCACGGAGGTCACCCAACTACAGGATTCAGTTGCTTTCCAGTTCAGATCTATACTCCTAACCTCTTTTTTATTTTTAAAATTAATTTATTTTTATTTTGTGTGTATGAGTGTTTTGCCTGCATGTATGTAAGTGCACCACATGTGTGCTATGCCTGCAGAGGTCAGAAGAAAGTGTCAGATTTCCTGGAACAGGTGTTACAGTTGTTAGCCACCATGTGGGTGCTGAGAACCGAACCTGGGTCCTCTGCAAGAGCAGCCAGTGCTCTTAACCACTGAGCCATTTCTAAAGCCCCTTTTAATTAATTAAGGCTTTTTAAGATGCAGTCTCCCTGTAGCCTCAGCAGGCCTGGAACTCACTATGCAGACTAGGCTGCCCTCAATCTCACAGAGATCTGCCTGCCTCTGCCTCCTGAGTGCTGGCATTAAAGGAGTCCCCTGAAGGGAACAGGCCCTGCTAGACTGCCACCCCCTCAGAGTTTGCAAAGAACTTTTGTTTTTTAAATATTTTATTATTTTTACTTTATGTATATGAACGTATTGCCTGCATGTATGTGAGTGCACCCGTGTCATGCAATGCCATGGAGGTCAGAAGAGGGTGTCGGATTCCCCTGGAACTGGAGTTAAGGACGGTTCACAGCTACCATGTGGGTGCTGGGAATCGAACCCAGGTCTTCTGCAAGAGCAGTCAGTGCTCTTAACCGCTGAGCTAGCTCTCCAGCCACAGAACTTTCTCTTTTTTTCTTCTTTTTGAGACAGGGTCTCCTTGTAGCCCCAGCTCTCCTGGAACTCACTATGTAGACGAGGCTGGCCCCAAACTCACAAAGATCCGCCTGCCTCTGCCTCCCAAGTGCTGGGATTAAAGGTGTGCGCCACCATGCCCAGCTTAAAACTTTCTTTTTAACGAATATTTTATAATTTTTACTTTATGTGTATGAATGTATTGCCTGCATGTCTGTAAGTACACCCATGTCATACAATGCCTCAGGAGGTCAGAAGGGGGCGCTGGATCCCCTGGAACAGGAGTTACAGACCTTTCTTGGCTGCCATGTGGGTGCTGGGAACTGAACCCAGGTCCTCTGGAAGAACAGCCAGTGCTCTTAACCACTGAGTCATCTCTCCAGCCCCACAACTGTGTTCTTGAGTTTTAGGAAAAGCGTCATTTGAGTGTGAGCATTTTTTCAAGAGCCAATTGTGGGGTTTATTTGTAGATACTGTGGATTGTTGAGGGTTTTTTTGGGGGGAGGTATTTATTTATGTATGTATTTGCTATTTCCCATTCCCCTGCTCTGTGCCAGGGGACACAGCTGTGATCACCACAGCCCTAGTCTCACTCACCCTCTGGGGGCTCATAGTCCAGTTAGGTATATGTGAGGGTGAGACTGACCAGTCTGTCCCCAGACTGGGACAACTGGATGGACAGAGCCCAGAGGGGGCAACTGATGTAGCCTGAGGGTCAGGCAGATGTTCACAGAGACCTGGAGGTTGTGGCTGGAAAAGACTGCTTTCTTCTCAAGGCTAGAGGGAGTTGACTGTGGGTGCTGAGCAGGAAAAGGGGGCTCACTTGATCTTAGACCTGGCTGTCCCATGGAGGGGAGCCTGGTGTGTCTGAGTGTGTGGAGCAGCTACTGTGTCAGCAGACTGTGCTGCTGGTTCTGAAGGTAGTGGGGTCCCCTGCAGGACCCCACAACAGCTCCATCTCTGTTCCAGAAGCCCGGCCTGCTGAGGCATCCCCTGCCTCTGGGATCCAGGAGCGCTCCTTCTTTGTCCGTATGAAGTCTACCCTAACCAAGAGGGGTCTGAATGTCAAAGCCTCGGGATACAAGGTGGGTATGAGCTGCCCGATCCCTCCTGAGGGTCTGCCAGAGGTGTCCCAAGCCCAACTATGAGGAGGACGCCCAGGCAGGGGGCTGCACTTGCTGAAGGTGTGTCAGGGGACCAGGGCAGGTACCTGCTACACACACTGCAGCCTCTGTGCCCCAGGTGTAGGTGTCTGATGGAACCCGGGTCCTTGGCTTGGTTGTGGACTTCCTGCCTCAGTGGTCCCGCCTGGCACTTCCCCAGCCATGCTCATTCTGCTTGCCCTACCCTCCAAACCAGCCCACTTCACTAGCACCCACCTTGCCCTCCCAATCACATCCACCATCCACAGGTCATCCACGTGACAGGGCGTCTGCGGGCCCGCGCCCTGGGCCTTGTGGCCCTTGGCCACACGTTGCCCCCAGCTCCCCTGGCTGAGCTGCCTCTGCACGGACACATGATCGTCTTCCGCCTAAACCTGGGCCTCACCATCCTAGCTTGTGAGAGCAGGTACCGGGGTTGGGGCGGGAGGGAGGTTGGGACCACTAGAGACCCAAGGCTATATGGGAATCAGCGAGAATTCTGGGCCTGTGTGGGCTGCAGCACTGGGGGAGGTGGAGGAGCAGGGGACAGCCTGACTCTAGCCTCCAGTGTCCAGGGTAGGGCCTTGGGGCGGAGGAGGGGCGGTGCTAGTGGTCAGGCCCCGCCCATTTCTTTTTCTGGTCTCCCATCATTCACACTTTCCTTCGCCTTACCATACCCATTTTACAGAGAGGCAAACTGAGACCCAGAGTACTCCAGCGCAAGGGCTTGGACACTGAAAGTCTCTAAAGCCAGCTCTATCTCCGAGCACCCGTCTCTGACTCCTCCACTTTCTTTCTCCCCTAGAGTTAGCGACCATATGGACCTGGGGCCTTCAGAGCTGGTGGGCCGCAGCTGCTACCAGTTTGTCCACGGGCAGGATGCAACTAGAATTCGCCAAAGCCACGTGGACCGTGAGACACACCCCGACCCCCCCCACACCTGCCACCACAAAGACTTAAATGTCCCTGCTGCCCTGTTCCCAGGAAATCCCCTTCAGGGCTGACCATAGTCTCTGCCTGCTGCACCTAGAGCTCCAGGGGTTCAGTTTGGAACAGTAAATCAACGGGGAGACTGAGCCATGGCTCATGCTGGGGGGGGTGAGTGAGGTCCCATGCTGGGTCATCTCCAGGTCTCTCTGACTATCTCTCTTTGTCTTTCTTGATTTCCTCCCACCCTTGCTGTCTCTATCTCCTGCCCACCTGTCTTGACCCTCCCCACCCCACCCACCTCTCTGGGCTCCCCGCTCTCCTGGGATGCACCCAGTGCTGGACAAAGGTCAGGTGGTGACTGGTTACTACCGTTGGCTGCAACGTGCGGGGGGCTTCGTGTGGCTGCAGTCTGTGGCCACGGTGGCCGGGAACGGGAAGAGTGCTGGGGAACATCATGTGCTGTGGGTCAGTCACGTGCTCAGGTGAGAGGCGACCCACGGTGGCAGTCCCTCCCCATCCCAGACAAGGCCCTTTAGAGGAGGGCTCTGAAGACAGGGGAAAGAATGTGAGACCAAATGCTCGATATAGGATAGTCCCATGTGACTGACACAGAGAGGAACCACTGTTGGGAGGGGCACAACTATGAGAGATGGGAGCAGGAGTAGAGTGAAGGCTCATGGGGCTCTGTCCCAGGCTGAAGGTGTGGATTTGACTCTGGGACACAGGGGAGCCATAGAAGGCTTTATGTCCGGGGAGGGTCACAGTCAAGTTTTTTTTTTTTTTTCCTGATGAGAGAGTTGACTGAGGGACAACATGAGAACTGAAGGACCAGAGAGATGCCTGGGGCAGGAGAAATGCCAGGAGGGACGGTGTTATCTGCCCCTTTGTCAACCTGAGATTTGGGCCCTAGAAGGAAACAACTGATGGTTTAGAAGGAAGAGACTGAGGCCAGATGACCATGTGCTTGGGGGACACCCAGGTGACATCAGGTGGCTAAAAGCAGCATACATCTGGCCTCAGGAGGGAGAGCTAAACTTAGTTGGATTACACCTTGGAGCTGGGTGTATTGGCTAAATCCCAGCTACTGGGAAGGCTGAGGCAGAAGGATTGAAAGTTTAAGGCCAGTCCTTGGGAAATCTAGGGAAACTGTCTCAAAAGAATAAAAAGAGGGCTGGGGTGTGGCTCAGTGGTAGAGCCCCTGCCTAGGATCCCCCAGTGAGGGGCTGGGGTGTGGCTCAGTGGTAGAGCCCCTGCCTAGGATCCCCCAGTGAGGGGCTGGGGTGTGGCTCAGTGGTAGACGACACCTTTGATATTGACCCAAGGGTGGTCACTGGTGAGTGGCCACGGGCAGAGCATAACTGTTGGGATCCTGGGTTGCTGGGATTAAAATCTTAGCCTGTGGGTTGGAGGTGTGGCTCAGTTATAAAAGTTCTGTCTAGAATACCCCAGTGAGGGGCCTGGGGGGTGTGGTTCCTGTATAGTAACAGCCAAGAATTCCCCATCGAGGGGCTGGAGTGTGGCTCAGTGGTAGAGTCCCTGCCTAGAATCCCCCAGTGAGGGGCTCGGTGGTAGTTCACCTGCCTAGGATCCCCCATGAGAGGCTGAGGATGTAGCTCAGTGGTAGAGCAGCTGGCTAACATGTGTAAGACCCTGGATTCAATCCACAGTGAGAGTGTGTTTGGGGGGGGAGTGGCAGTGAAACCAACTTAGAGTTTATAGGCCTGATGGCTTTTTAAGTGCTTCAAGGTGGGAACCCCATATTCCACTTAGGGGGCATTTACATTGCCTGCTGTCCTGAGACTCCTGGTTCCCAATTCCATCCTCTTGTCCCCAGCCATGCTGAAGGGGCCCAAACACCCTTGGATGCCTTCCAGCTCCCAGCCATCGTGCCCCATGGGGACCCATCCAGCCCAGGGCCAGAGCCTACAGGTGAGTACATCCTTCCCACCTCTGCACCCAAGAAAGCCCTGAGGGACCTTTAAAGTACCCAATGTGGAAGCCACTAGCTAGGACATGTGGCTACTTACCTTAACAGTGAAATTAAATGTCCTCAAGTTTGGGGAGATGGCTCAGTGGGGAAAGTGCTTGCCACCTAAGCATGAGGACCAGAGTTCGATCCCATGTAAAAAAGTTAGGTGGGGCCACACATGCCCTAACCCCCAGTGCTTGGAGGAACTCTGGGTCTTACTGGCCCATCCAGTCAGGGAGTTCCAGATTCAGGAAAAGACCGCGCCTCAATAAATAAGGTAGATGGGCTGGAAAGGTGGTTCAGTGGTTAAAAGCACTTGCTGCTCTTCCAGAGGACCAGAGTTTGATTCCAAGCACCCATAAGATGGCTAACAACTACCTGTAACTTCAGCCCCAAGGGATGAGATGCCTCTGATCTCCCACATGCCCATGCCCACACATGCATACACAGGGGCACAAAGAACTTTTAGGGGATGTGGGGGCACCTGCCTATGATCCCAGCTTTTGTCATTCCAACTCTCAGAAGGCTAAGGCAAGGGGACTGCTAAAAGTTCAAGGCCAGCCTGGTCTACATAGTGAGTTTCAGGCTAGCCAGGACTATATAGTGAGACCTTGTCTCAAAAACAAGCAGTTAAATGTCTGCATCCTCAATTCTACCTACCACATTTCAAATACTCAGTAGCCCCATGTGGCCAGTGGCTGTCTCTCAGGACAATAGTGATAAAAGATATTTTCAGTACTGTGGAAGGTTCTAACACTACAGAGAAGGCATCTGATCTAGAGAGTTCCTTGGACCTGCAGGGATCTAGCTGGGACTTCTCAATCGAGGATTCACTGACTCATGGGTCTTGACTGTCCTGTGAGATACTATGCCTGCGGCACCTCGCCTCTCTGTGATAAACAGAAACTATCTCTGGATCCAGCTGTGTGCTGAGGGGAAAAACAAACAGAACACTGGGGCTGAGAACAAGGCCACTGCCCACATTGGGAGAGCAAGGGCTGGAGGCACACAGCCCTTAGAAGCCTTCTCTGAGGCTGGAGTGGGGGTGCAGGATTATAACATTGGTTACTGGAGAGGCTGAGACAGGGAGATTCCAAGTTCAAAGGTAACCTGGACAACTTATCAAGAACGAGTCTCAAAAAGTAACGAGAAGTGCTATAGAGATGGCCTAATGGGGAAAGCTCTTGCTGTGTAAATGTGAAGACCTGAGTTCAGATCTCCAGCAACCCAGCTAGGCAGCGCATATTTGCAACCCCAGTACTGGGAGAGGCAGAGAGAGGGGGATCCTGGGGCTTGCTGGCCAACCAGCCTAGCCAAAAGTTCAGTGAAAGACTTTTTCAAAAATATAAGGGGGGAGGGAGGCTGTAGAGATGGCTCCGTGGTTAAGAGTACTGGTTGTGGGGCTGGAGAGATGGTTTAGTGTTTAAGAGCACTGACTGCTCTTGCAGAGGACCTGTGTTCGAGTCCCAGCACCCACATGTCGGCTACAAATTGTCCTTAACTCCAGTTCCAGGGGAATCCAAAGCTCTCTTCTGACCTCCGAGGCATTGCACGACACGGGTGCTCTCATATACATGCAAGCAATATACTCACACACATAAAAAATAAAAGTAATAGCCGGGCATGGTGGCGCATGCCTTTAGTCCCAGCACTGGGGATGCAGAGGCAGGTGAATCTCTGTGAGTTCAAGGCCAGCCTGGTCTACATAGTGAGTTCCAGGCCAGCTGGGGCTACAGGGAGACCCTGTCTCAAAAAGACCAGCATCCACATGGGAACAATCCTTAACTCCAGCTCCAGGAGATCTGCAGACCCACACATACACACACACACACACACACACACACACACACACACAAAGAACAAAACCTTAAAAAAGGTGGAGGGCCAGCATCAGGTGTTTGTCCTATAAGCCTGATGATCTGAGTTCGATCTTGGGAATCCTTGGTGGAAGGACAACACCAACATCCAGAAGTTGTGCTTTGACCTCTACATGCAACTACACTCACACGTACACACAATAATAATAAATAGGGCTAGTGAAATGGCTCAGTGGGGAAAGGTGCTTGCCATCTGATGATGCAACCTGACAACTGGAGTCTGATCCCCAGAACTCAGGTAAAGGTGGAAAGGGAGAGCCAACTCCACAAAGCAGTCCTCTGCCTACTACCCCATCACACACACAATAATAATCATAAAAATAAATTTAAATAAATAATGAGGTGGAGAGTTATAAAGGAAGGCTCCCCTATGTCAACCTCTCACCTCTACATGCAAAAACGTGGGCCAGAACTCCCCCCCACATGATGCATGCAACACATACACATGCACAGACTGAAAAGAGTGCTCTAATGCAGTTCAGTGGTAGAGCACCTGCATAGAATCCCCCAGTGAGAGGCTGGGGGAGTGGCTTAGCATTAGCGCTCTGCAAAAAAAAAAATAAAAAGGATTCCTCTTCTTAGAGGAAGAGCCTCCAGTGGACCGAAAGCCGGCTGCCTCTGTGGACAATGACAAAGAAGAGGCTCCCCAGACCCGGGGCAAACGCATCAAAATGGAGCCCAGCCCAAGGGAAGCTAGAGGCTCAGAGGACAGTGAGGAAGAGCTCTCGGACCCACCAGTCCCACCCCGGCCAGAATTCACTTCTGTCATCCGGGCAGGGGCCCTGAAACACGACCCTGTACGACCATGGGGCCTGACAACGCCTGGGGACCCACCACCTTCCCTGCTGCATGCAGGCTTCCTGCCGCCCATGATGCGGGGCCTGTGCACCCCGGGCACCATCCGTTATGGCCCCGCAGAGCTGGGCCTGGTGTATCCACATCTGCACAGGCTGGGCCCGGGCCCCACACTCCCAGAGGGCTTTTACCCCACGCTGGGCCTGCCGTATCCTGGGCCCACGAGCACTAGGGTGCAGCGGAAGGGGGACTAAGGACTGGGTATCACTAAGGAACGGGAACCTGGGAGACAGATCGAAGCCTGGAGCCATCCTTGAGAATTAAACACCAATCCCCTAGGGGGTCTGTCCCCAGGGACCCTCTGCCTTTCTTCTTTTCTTGTTATTTTAAATATTTATTTATTTATTTATTTATTTATTTATTTATTTATTTATTTGTCCCATGGGTTGTGTGTGTATGATGGTCAAAGGACAACTTGCTGGAATTGGTTCTTCCCTTCTACCATGTGGATTCTGGCGCTCAAACTCAAATCATCAGGCTTGGCCCCAAGTGCTTTGCCTGCTGAGCCATCTTGAATGCCCCAGTATTTGGGATAATTACAGCTACATTTTTATCTACAAAATTTTTAGTGGAATGCATTAAGATGCAATCTTGTATATAATATAAAGAAAATCTTAATCATGTATGTGGTGGGCATACTGTTCTCTCCTTCCACCATCTGGGTCCTGGGGGTCTAACTCAGGTTGTCAGGCTTGGGGGCAAGCACCTTCACCCACTGAGCCATCTCACCAGCCCCTGCTCCTCTTTCTTGGGATCTCCACCTGCCTCCTGCCCCGTTTCCCCCAAGTAACAGGAGCTACCACTCCGAGTCTTGAGTCACTGAAGGATCAGGTCAGGTTTTAATGCCCCAGTCCTCGGACCCAGTCAGTCCCCACAGTCTGGCTGCTTACTCAGGTGGTGGCCGACCTGCTTCATCTGGGCCTTCTGTAGAAGAGGTCCCATCATCCTCAGGCACCAGTTCCACATCCAGCTCCAGCTGGCCCATGTAGAGGCCTACAGCACAAGCCCAGAGTAGGCTGGCAGCCAGTACAGCCCCAACACCTGCAACAGCGCCGGCAAGAGACAGCTGCATGGGCCCCCGCAACGCTGCCAGGCCCACAGCATAGGAGGCTCCACCCCACACCACACACAGGCCACCTAGCAGGAAGAAACCTGTGGGAAAAGGGGCAGCAGTCAGAAAATGGCTCAGCCTGGGGTATCAAATGGGACTGCCCGGATTGGGGTGGGTCAGGAAGAAGAGTTGGGGCTGGACCTGGTGGCTCATGCCTTTGATCCTAGCACTCTGGAGGTGAAGGCAGAGGCAGGTGGATCTCTGGCATACATAGAAAGTTCCAGGCCAGCTAGGGCTACAAAAAGACTGTTAGGGATGCATCCCAATGGTAGAAGACTATTTGGAGCCTCCCAGAAATGGACTGGGGGAGTGGCTTAGCAGTAGAGAACCTGCCTAGAATCCCCCAGTGAGGGACTGGGGGTGTGGTTCAGCAGTACAGTACTGGTCTAGCAGGCCTAGAGGTCCTGGGTTCCATCTAGTATAGAAAAAAAAAAAAAAAAAAAAAAGGAGGGGCGTGAGGAACAGGGGCTCAGGTAATACAAGGCTAAATCAATGTACATGAGACCAAATCACTGGAGGTTTCAGGGAATTGAAGTTGGATCCAGGATCCAAAGGAAGGGGCTGGTCTGGGAGTAGAGACAAGGATGAAAAGGCAGTCAGGAATACATGGGAGCTGTCCCTAAAACTCTCATCTTTGAGAAGTCAGATTGGAGGGGGAAGCCAGGCAGTCATGCCCTGGGCCTCCCATTCAGTAGTTGTATGTAGTGAGTGGGAGGGGGACAGTCACCAGTGTGTGTAAGGGGGGCAGGAGGAGTAGGCACTGAAAGAGAAGGGTTTCTCCATCCCCCAGTGGGTGAGAACACATATGTACTTACCATAGGCAGCTTCCCGGCCCATGTCACTCTGCATGAAGGAGATGACCCCAATGCCCGATGCCAGAAGGCCATTTCGGAACCAAGAGAGGAAGGCTGTATGTAGGGAGAGGGAGGGGATCTCCATATCAGTCAGGCCCTGTCTCCTAGACCCTTCATCCCAGACCATCACAGCCAATTCCTACTCCATCCAGCCACAAGGCAAAGCTGCCCCAGATTCTTGCCCCTTCCAGGAAACCTCCCTGCAAGCAGGCCCATACCTTCCCTGGGAGGTGAGGCCGGGCAGTTCTAAGTCCCTTTTGACCAGTGATTCAAGACAGTCTCTGGAACCCAGGGGATAATCTCAGGCAAGAATTAAAGACGCTCAGTCGTAGGATAAGGAGTCTGTCTCCAAGCGGTCAACTTGACCACACCTAAACACACTTGTGCATCTCTTGCTTCTTTCTCAGACCCCTGGAACAGAGTGCCCCCAACCAGGCCTCTCTCCAGCCTCCCCTTTCACCACCTTCTCCCCTCCCTGGGAAGGCCTTCCTCCAGGCGTCCACATTTCCCCACCACTCAAGTCCCTGCGTGACGTCAACAAGCAGTTCCCATTACAAGCTCCCTCTCTCCATCCTATACCAGAGTTGTTCCAATCTGTCAACCCCCTGCCCTCTTTGAAGTGCCCCCCCCCCCCGCAGCCTAGATCACCTCCCCTTCCAATCAGCAGAGACCTTTTCTGCTATTGGTTGCACACTAGTCCAATCCGGAACTTCCTCATCTTTGCAGGGAGTCACACTCCCGCTTAATGCAGAGTGGTCCCTCTGCAATCGAAACCCACTCCCTGTCGCAGGCAACTCGCTCACTTTTAGCTGTCTCTGGAACCCTGTATCAACCAGGCAGGCGCTTCATTGCCAGGATACTTCTCCTAACTGGAATCTCCCTCAAACCCCTTCTGCACCACATTAGCCAGGACCCACCTTCTATCCCCAGGCGGGTGTCCTATGCGGCCAGGTTGCAATCTTGCACCTAGCATTTCGCTGCCTTTAGACGAGAAGCCCTTCCTCCGCCAAGCCCAAGCCCTGTCCCCAGCAGATGCAGCATCACCCTCGTCACTCACTCCCACTCACCCGCGGATCGGCCACGTGGACCTTTCCTCTTAAACCCTGACTGACCCCGGCCCCTGCCACGGACCTGTCTCATGCGCCTTCCGGAGGAGCCAAGCGTCCGCGCGATCCAGCTCGGACACCCGGGGCGGAGAGGCCCCCGCGCGTGGGGCGTGGCCCGGGGCGAAGGACCCCCGGGCGCCACCGCTACGGGGCCGCTGAGGCGGCAGCGGCGACCCCCGGAAGCGCAGACGGGCCAGGCGGGCGACCCGAGCCCACCACCAGCCGCCTCCCATAGTTTGCACTAGGGCCGCCGCGCTCATTCCGCCCCCACCCGGCCGTCCGTAAGGCTGTACTCCACATCACTCAAGCTGAGCGACACGTCGATTGGTTGATTGCCTGCAACTCAAACCTGGTACGCGCTGCTCATTGGTTGACATAGCTATGCTTCCCACCTCTGTCATCTGTACTGGTAGTGCGAGGCCTACCTTGTTTTGGAGGCTAGACTACAAATCCCAGAGATCATTGTGTCCCTGGCACGTCGGCCTGCAGAAGCCACAGGCGTGATGTCTTCGGGGACTTGTAGTTTTAAAGCTAATTGCTTTCAATAGACAGGAAACAAAATTCTAGTTGCTTATTGTAGAAACTTTGCAAAACCTCAGGGAGCTCAGACAGCAGAACTCACCAGAAACCCCACCATGAGGATATTCTATTTTGCTGTTTAGTTTTTCTTCTATGAGGATATAATAAATTGATATTTCCAAACATTGCCCGCGGAGGTCAGAAGAGGGCTTCAGACAAAATTCTAGTTGCTTAATGAAGAAACTTTGCAAAACCTCAGAGAGCCCAGGCAGCAGAACTCACCAGAAACCTCACCAATGAGGATATTCTATTTTGCTGTTTAGTTTTTCTTCTATGAGAATATAATAAATTGGTATTTCCAAACATTGCCCCCGGAGGTCAGAAGAGGGCGTCAGATCCCCTGGAACTGGAGTCATAAATTGGTGCACATACATGCAGGCAATACATTCACACACATAAAGTAAAAATAATGAGGACCCGGGTTCGATTCCCAGCACCCACATGGCGGCTATGAACCGTCCTTAGCTCCAGTTTCAGGGGAATCCGAAGCCCTCTTCTGATCTCCGCAGCACTGCACAACACGGGTGCAGTCACATACATGCAGGCAATACAATCATACACAAAATAAAATAAAATATGAAACGAAATAAAATAAATAAAACAAAATAATAAAAATGCTAGGAATGAGGACTAGGCTTTCACCCCAGGTGAACCCCAACCCCGAAGAATGAACTTCTGAGGACTGCCAAGAATCGACAGATCACTCTCAGAATGCCAAACAGTGTATTAAATGGGTCACGTTTGAAACAACAAATTACAAGGATGCTAGTGGTCAAAGTAGAATTTGGGAAACAGTGAAAACGTACAACACAGAAAGGACAGGCTATTGAGGGTGGATCGAGCATCCCAGTGCTGCAAAGAATTCTTCCTTCTGAGTAGCACAGAGTTCTGAGTGCCAATGGGTGGGCTATGGCCTTAAGTCCCGCATAGGTCTCCTGGACAAAATAAGAGCCCAGAGAAGCTGCTCTTCCCACGTTGTAGGAAGGAACTGGATGCAGAGGTGACCATGTGGGATATTCATGTTGTGTACATGGATCTAGGTTTGTCCAATTGTACCATACAGGTTGGGACAGTAACTAGTAACTGTCAATGGAAATGTACAGAAGCTGTAAGGCTGAAGCCCAAACCAGGGAAATGGAGAATTTGTGGAAGTAATATTCTACCAAAGAATGATCTGATGCTCTGGTAGTCATTTGAAATACACTTAGTGCTGAGCATGGTGGTGCACGCCTTTAATCCCAGCACTTGGGAGGCAGAGGCAGGGGGATCTTTGTGAGTTCAAGTCCAGTCTGGTCAACATAGTGAGTTCCAGGCCAGCTGGGGCTACAGGGAGACCCTGTCTCAAAGAAGGAAAAAAAAGAAAAAGACAGAAAAAGAAAAAAAATCCTTAGTAAAAAAATTTAGACATGGGGGCGTTGTTTATTTATATGAGTATTTTGTCTGCATGTATGTAAGTGTACTATGTGCATGCAGTGTCCAAGGAGGCCAGAAGAGGGCATCAGATCCCCTGGACTTACCTGGAGTTATAGTTGGTTGTGACCTGCCATATGGGTGCTGGTTCTACAAGAGTAGCCAGTGCTCTTAACTGCTGAGCCATCTCTCTAGCCCAAACTATGACTGTTTCTAATCAACATTGTCCTGGAAGTTCTGAGGCAATAACTTAAGATAAAGAAACAAACAAAGGAATGAACAAACAAACAAACAAATAAATAAGTAAAACAGCCGGGCGTGGTGGTACCCACCTTTAATCCTGGCACTCCCGAGGCAGAGGTAGGCAGATCTCCATGAGTTCAAGGCCAGCCTGGTCTACACAGTGAGTTCCAGGACAGCTGGGGCTACAGGGAGACCCTGTCTCAAAAAAAAAGAATAAATAAATAAATAAATAGATTTTTTAAAAAAAGAATAACAGGAGTGCCAAGCAATCTTGGGTACAGGGAGACTCTGTCTCAAAAAATCAAAATCAAAACAAAACAAAAACGTATACACACAGCTGGGCATGGTGGCGCACTCCTTTAATCCCAGCACTTGGGAGGCAGAGGCAGGTGGATCTTTGTGAGTTCGAGGCCAGCCTGGTCTACATAGTGAGTTCCAGGACAGCTGGGGCTACAAGGAGACCCTGTCTCAAAAAAGACAAACAAAAATTCTTTCCCAGGGCTGGAGAGACAACTCCTTGGTTAAGAACACATACTGCTCTTCTAGAGCACTTGAGTTCAGTTCCCAGCACCCATGCTGGGCGGCTCACAACAGCCTTTAAGTCTAGCTCCAAGGAATTAGACTCTCTCTTCTGGACTCTGAGGGCATCTGCATTCACACACAGATACAGACACACACACACACACACACACACACACACACACACATAAATATATAAATATAATAAAAATAAATCTTTAAGGAGAAAAAAAAAAAAACACAGAGCCTGTGAGATGGCTCAGTGTGTAAAGGAACTTGCCACAAAGCCTGACAACCTGAGTTCAATCCCCAGAACTTACATGGTGGAAGGAGGGAACCAAGTCCTGAAAGTTGTCTTCTTACCTCCACATACCTGCATGTATGTAAGAGCATCTATGTCACGCAGTGCCCATGGAAGCCAGAAGAAGGCATCCAGTCCTCTGGAACTGGAGTTACAGACAGTTGTTAGCCACCATATTGGTGCTGGGAACTAAACACAGGTCCTCTGGAAAAGCATCCAGTGCTCTTAATCTCTCAGTCATATCTCCAGTCCCCTCCCTGGTTGAATTTTTTAAAAGACTTTTATTTATTTTATTATTTTATTTTAATTTATTATGTGTATGCATGTATTGCCTGTGTGTAGGTAAGTGCACCCATATCGTGCAATGCCCACAGAGGACAGAAGAGGCTGTCGGATCCCCCTGGAACTGGAGTTACAGACAGTTGTTAGCTGCCAGGGTGCTGGGATTTGAACCTGGGTCATCTGCAAGAACAACCAGTGTTCTTGACTGCTGAGCTACCTCTCCAGGCCCAGGTTGATTTTTTTTTTGTCTCTTTTGAGACAGGGTCTCCCTGTAGCCCCAGCTGTCCTGGAACTCACTATGTTGACCAGACTGGCCTCGAACTCACAAAGATCCCCCTGCCTCTGCCTCCCAAGTGCTGGGATTAAAGGCGTGCGCCACCACACCCGGCCCCAGGTTGAATTTTTTTTTAAAAAGAAAATAAATTCCCAGCACTGCATAAACCAAGTGTGGTAGCACACCCCTGTAATCCTAGGTCTTGGGAGCTAGAGGCAGGAGGATAGCCTTGGCTCTAAATGGACACCCTGGGCTAAAAGATACTGTGACTTGTATCCTGTGGGTCATGTTCTGTGTGGGAAGTTACCCACGGTGTTGTGGAACACATGGAATGCAAAGGAATTGAGGCTCCTGCCCTCAGCCAGCTCTGCTTCCTACCCACTCAAGTGGACAAGGAGCCTTCCTCCCTACACCCCAATAAATCTCTAATTAACTGCAGCCCTGGGCTGAACTCAGGCCAGACACTGACCGGCACTAAGCTTAGCCATTCTGAATCAGAAACTATGTGAGATAAAAGGGTTTATAGTTAATTTAACCTCCCAAGAAGGGACATGTAGGCAGAAATACAAGGTCAGTTATGATGGGAAATGGAGGAGGAGAAAGGCTCAAAGCACAGAAGAGAGCAAGGGCAAAGGCACTGTGGTTGGTATTTGTCTGACATGCTAGAGGGCAGGTCAAGAGGCCAAGATAAACTGCAGCAGAGCGAGTGATGCTACCAAGACAGTACAGGAAGTCAGAGAGATACAGAAGGCAGGTCAAGTCCCAGGGGTCTTGTAACTCATGTTGGGGGCATTCTAATTTTTCTTTTCAGTGTTAGGGATGGGACACAGGGCCTTGCACATGCTCCAAAAGGGTTCTACACCACCAGCCCTGAATTTAATGGGATACTATGGGCTAGCCTGGAACTTGAGATCCTTCTGCCTCAGCCTCTGGAGTGCTGGGATCACAGACATACACCACCACCCCTAGCTCAGACCTTTCACGATACTTAATCCCTCATCTCTCACTGAGATTGGGCCTTGAACTTGTTATGTAGCTGAGGATAACTTTGAACTCCTGATCTTCCTGCCTTCATCTTAACAGTGCTGGAGTTACAAGTATGCACCACTATGCCTGGTTTATGGGGTGTTGGGGATCGAACCAGGGCCTCATGCAAGTTAGGCAAGCGCTCTACCCACTGAGCCATATCACCAGTTCAAGAAAGCCTTGAATTTCATCGGGAAGAGAAGGGTGGGAGCTAGAGAGAGGCCAACCTTGTTCAAATGGACAGGCCAAGATGTCTTGCCTGCTTGTAGGGCACATTGTAATGAGGTTAAATGAGAACTGAAAACACCTGAGACACATTTTTCACATTCTTTGGCAGGGAAATGGTTTGTGCTGGTGAGAAGAATAAAATAATAATCTGAATGCCAGAAAGGGTCAGCCCAGGCAAAGAAAACAAAACCTCCTTAAAGAGGGATTTAACTTAAGGTGGTATTTAGAACACAAGTTTGAAGGAGAATTATCTGGGGACTTTAAAAATATGTCAACACTTGGCCAGTCATGGTCCCACGCGCCTTTAATCCCAGCATAAGGGAGGCAGAGGCAGGCAGACCTCTGTGCCTTCAAGGCCAGCCTGGTAGTAAGCTCTAGACCAGCTGGGGAAAAAGACCCACGCTCCCCCATGTCAACACT